CCCAAACCGGGGTGTCACTAGTCATGAGCATCTAATAAGTCTAAATACAACTGACAAGGTCTGAAATGTACTCAGCACAGTCTAATAGAATGAAAAGAGAGAAAGCAGTGCTGCAAACGCCGGCAGCTTCCTTGCTAACTCCACTGACAACTGCCACCAAGCTCAGAAAATACCTGAATCTGCACACAAGGTGCAGGGAGTAAAATGAGTACTGCCAACTCAGTGAGTAATAATCATAAATAAAGACTGAATGGTAAGAAATCACGAAAAGAGCATCAACATGCTGTATAGAAGCAGTTTCAAAACCAGTAAGAAAGCAATGAAGCTGTAAAATCCTTTAAAACATCTTAGCTCAGTTTAAACCCTTTTGAAAATAACTTTTTCAACAGTTGCGCAAATGAATGCAGAACAACTAGTGCAGATAAGCACAGAAATCCGCCCCTCGGGCGTAAATACACAATTAAGCAAGTAAATGACAGGAAAATAAGAAAGATAAGCACATAAGGTTCGCCCCTCGGGCACAATATCAATGAATTCGCCCCTCGGGCAATATCTCAGAACAGTACCAGCCCCTCGGCAATCACATAGAACAGTATCAGCCCCTCGAGCAATCACATCGAACAATACCAGCCCCTCGGGCTATATCTCACATCACATTGGCTCACTGGGGGTGTCCAGACTCCTGGAGGGGCCCCTTACAGCCCAAGTGCGATAACAAGCCACCTCGTGGCATCATAAACAGGCTCTCGGCCTCATATCGATATCAAGCCACCTCGTGGCGTACATATCTCAGGCCCTCGGCCACAAATCAGTATCAGTGTATCACCGCTGCGACGTGTAGCCCGGCCCAAAAGATGTCCTCACAACACAGGCCCTCGGCCTTACTCAGTCAAAAAATCACATAAGCCTCTCGGGCAACAGTAAAACAGTGTTTCTCGGCCCAAAACATCATTTAAATATCATTTGAGTATTAAAACTGAGTGAACATGTGTGAGTTTTTGAAAACAGTGGAAAATAACATGACTGAGTTCAAGTAATAAGTCAAAACGGTGAGGAAATATCAACAAAAACCCCCGAAGGGTTCAAATAGTTGGCACGAAGCCCAAATATGGCATGCAGCCCAAATAATGACGATAACAAATAGATTTCAGTCAAGTACGCGGTAAAATCATCAATCAACATGGACCAAGTCATAGTTCCCAATAGTGCACGACCCCACGCTCGTCGTCAAGCATGTGCCTCACCTCAATATAGCACTACAATGTGCAATCCGGGGTTTCGAACCCTCAGAACATCATTTACAATCATTACTCACCTCGAACCGGCTACATCTCTAGCTCGCGACGCCTTTGCCCCTCGAATCGTCCTCCACGCGCATCGAATCTATCCAAAATAAGAACGGGGACGTCAAAATATGCCAAGGGAACAAAGCCCAAGCGAAAACAATCAATAACGGGCACAAATCCCGAAATTAGCAAAATTCGAGCCTCGGGCCCACTTCTCGAAACTCAGAAATTTTCACATCAATAGAATCCTCATCCTCATACGAGTTCATACATATCAAGAACGTCAAAACCGGACCTCAAATGGCCCCTCAAATCCCCACTCAAAGGTCTCTTAAATCTCAAGCCCTAATTACCCATTTTTGCTACTGATTTCCCGTGGATTTCAAGCTTACAAATGTTAAAATTCATCATAGAAACAAGTTTAGGGTCCAAAAATCTTACCTTTATGAAATCCTCTTGAATTCCCTCTTCAATTAGCTCTCCCAAGCTTTCTCCCGGATGAAATATGGTGAAAATCCTCTCAAAATCGCGAAGGGTGAAATATATGCATTCTGACCCAGGCATTTTCGCATCTGCGGTCAATCCACCGCATCTGCGGTACCGCTTTTGCGGTCTAAGAGCCGCTTCTGCGGTTCTTCACTTAATTGCCCAATCCGCATCTGCGATGAAGTAGCCGCATCTGCACCTTCGCAGATGCGGTCCCGCAACCGCTTCTACGGTTCCTGCCAACCTCACCAGCTTTCGCTTCTGCGACTAATTCTCCGCATATGCGGCGTCGCACCTGCGGTCCCCAATCCGCAGGTGCAGAAATGCCAGAAGCAGAAAATCTGCAGTTGCAACAAGGTTCCAAACTTCTCCGAAATCACCCCGAGGCCCCCGGGACCTCAACCAAAAGCACAAACATATTCTAATACCTTATTCAAACTTGTACCAACCTTCAAATCATCTCAAACAACATCAAATCACCCAAAACACATCGGATTCACGCCAAACTTTCTAAAATCTTTCAAATTCCGCTTTTGATCAAAAACCCAACCAAACCACGTCCGAATGACCTGAAATTTTGCACACGCATCCCAAATGACATAATGGAGCTACTGCAACTTCCGGAATTTTATTCCGACCTCTATATCAAAATCTCACCTATCAACCGGACAACGCCGAAATCTTAATTTCGCCAATTCAAGCCTAAACCTTCCACGGACTTCCAAAATACATTCTGATCACCATCCTAAGTCCCAAATCAACTAACGGAGCTAACCAAATCATAAAATTTTCCATCCGAGATCATATACAAACAAGTCAAATCTTGGTCAAACCTTTCAAATTTCAAGCTTCAAACTGAGAACTGTTCTTCCAAATTCGTTCCGATTACCCTGAAAACCAAAACCAACGGTTTACATAAGTCATAATATACTACACGGGGCAAGACATGCCCGAGAACTGGCGAGCAAAGTGCAAAAACTCAAAAGGACCGGTCGGGTCGTTACAACATCTCTTGTGTAGTTTGCAGGTTATTACACAGTGGAGGGTTACCCAGTGCGCACAGAGTGCTCAATCGAAAGGCAGAGATTGTGGCAGATGTTGTAGCGATTACGAGTTTTTCTAGAATTCCAAAAAAATAATCCAAAAAAGTTGTAAAGATAAAGGAGTATTTATCACTCTACCACAATCTTTGACGAGAGTTACTCGTTACTATTCCCTTGCCACAAGATGGACAGAAAACACGTATCGATTCTCCTCACCTGCTCGTCCTTTTCTTGATACAAAAGTTGTGGCAACCATATCATCATCTCAATTGGTACTTGTTAGTAGCCAAAATCGACCAAACTCTATCTCTTGTCATCTCTTTGCCTCTCTTTTTAACCTTTTACACACAAGTTGCTTTCCAATATTTTAAATCAGTTCCAATTATTTGCCATTTCTTGAATACATTCAAACAAAAAGTGAGCAAGGCAACATTTGGACTAACTTGATATGTGTCACTCTTTGGCTTTCTTCCTCTCATTCAGTGAACACTCTTGAGTTCACCTATATATAATTGATTGATTGCTTGATTTCTTTTCCTTCACATGGTTGTCCTTCTCACTTGCTTTTATGGTGAAATATGTATTTTATTTTTCTAAAATTTCCATTTATCCATTTATTCTATCCAAAAAAAAAAGCCGCCAATAAAGCGATAGTTCCAAACAACTTGAGATCGATTATATATATTTATATAAGCAGGAGCTGATCCCGATTTAAGCATAGGGGAGCACCTAGTAGAAA